TTCTACGCCTAGAGTACTTCTTATGGAGCTGTTTCGGATATGGTCCTTTCTGTTGACACAACACATTTATCTGAGCATTCGTATTTCTACCGAGTTCAGCTGTTGTTCATGTCTCTTCAGTGTAGCCAAACATTCAGCTCCGTACAGAAGCAACGGTCTTACTATCGTTTTGTACACCTTCCCTTTCAGTCTGATAAGCATCTTCTTGTCGTACGGTACTCCACTCTCTTCTGTCCATTTGAGCCAATCTTTTTTCAACCGATTTCTTACCTCGCTGACGATTTCCGCATTATCCTGCAGAGTTGAACCAAGGTAATTGAATTCTTGGGTTTGAGGCAGCAAGCTGCCCGCTATTTTCACTGGTTTGACAGATTTCAACCTGCTTTCCCCGCTGAAATAGCCTAAATTGCCTTTGCTGAGTCGAAGGCCTTCTTAAGAACTCTTCTCAATGCCTCGGTTTTTGATTCTACAGTTTGTCTGCTTTTGCTGCCTAGCACAATGTCATCTGCATAGAGCATGCAGTATGAACCTGCTTCCTGCAGATCCTCAGCTATCGCATCTGTCATCATCGAGAACAGAAATGGGTTGAGTGCGGATCCTTGGTGGACTCCTACCCGTAGAGGGAACTCTTCCGTTTCGCCGCATGTACTTTGGATTGTCGTTGTGGATCTGTCGTACATAACTCTGGAGAGTCTGACATTTTTTAGCGAAAGCTTTTTTCTCACGCTTCACCAGATTGCCTGCCTCGGAATTGGTTCGAAAGCTTTCTCGAGGATACCGTGTGAATGGCCTGTCTGCCTTCTCTATGTATGTTTCGAAGACTGATCTTAAAGCGAAGATGGCATCCGTGGTTATCCGGCCTGGCATGACGCTAAACTGCTTCGCGGTGAACTCGACCTCCTTACTCAGTCTTTTGTCCAGCACCCTTTTAAATAGCTTCATGGTGTAACAAAGCTACTGTCCAATTGCCGGTAGCTTTCGCAGGCAAGCATGTTCCTTTTCATTTTGCACACTGGCATCAAAATATTCCGCCTCCATGATTCTGAAATTTCTTCATATCACATAATTTTGTTGAATACGCGCAGAGCCAAACTAAGCCGTCTTGCCCCAGTGCTTCCCATGCTTCTATGGGAACTCCGTCCGGTCCAAGGGCCTTTTTATTTTTCATTCAACTCCAGACTTGTTCCACTTAATCAGATGAGACGTTTTCGACTAGACCCTGGTTTCTTGGGATCGCTTCCGCGGTCTCTCTGGGGCGTTCTTCGTTTACTAGCGTTTGGAAGTGCTTTCGCCAATGGTTGCGAATATTTATCTCGCCCGTCAGCATCACTCCGGTTTCCTCTTTTATGCACTTCACTTCGCCGACGTCTCTTGTTCTTCTTTGTCTCATTTTCGCTATGCGACAGATGCCTTTCTCCACTTCTTTTTTTGCCTGTTTTTCGTGACGCTGTAGACTTTGCGTCAGCGAAGTCTTCCTTTGCATCCCTCCTTGATATGGCGTATTTGGCTCTGTCTTCCACACTGTTTGATAGTTGCCATTTCTTGAACAGCTATTTCTTCTGTCGTAGGGTCGCCTGAACGTCCGCACTCCACCGCCACGTCTGTTTCAGTAAATGTGTTGTGCCTTTTGTTTTTCCGACTAGGCCTCTGATATTCCCTGTGACTTTTCTGACCATCCTCTTCCATACTTCGTTCACTTTCCGATTCCAGTCTTTCTTCGTCATTTTTCTCGTAACTGTAACGTTTCACATAGTACAGGTGGAATTCTTCCACCGGGTTGTGTCGAAAAGGGTTGGTTCCTTATCAGTCCTCCTTTCATAAGGACATATACAGTACTAAGTTGAAAGGTTGTAAACTTGACCTTAATCAAGTGAATAACTCCATTTGACGATCTTAACAAACAGATGCGCAAATACTCCAATAGCTTGTTGTTGAACCACTCTGGTCAAGCGGTTTGTGTTGCCCAAGCCATTGTCGATAATAACGTTTCAAAATGCAGTGAATGAATGAATAAATGGATATGTTAAGCGGGCGCCATGGTTGGAAGGCTCCACGAAAAACCAGTGTAACAGAGCAGAGGACACGATGAGTACATCAGAAGCGGCACAGGTGCTTTTGCAGTTACATCGAAATCACGAACGTGAGAAGTCGCTGATGACAGTGAACTGCGGATGTGAGACACACTCCAGAGTTGGAAATATTGTCAGTTCTGGTAAGACTTCCTCAAGTGTCAACCTGTAGTTCAATCGACGTGTTTGATCTTAGTCACTGACACGTCGGTGAGTCGCTGTTTCGCAAAAGATGGCAGATATCCACGTCAGATGCCCTGGAACGACGGTCGTCAAGTGGAGGCGCCGTTCGTTATGAGCGAAAGCAGAGTTTCTTGGCGACATATGGCGTGCAACGTCACCGAGGTGCAACATAATCGGTGGTGCAGTTGGAATGGTGCATGTTCCACACAGTCGGCCGTTCGAACCGATGCGGCCAGGGATGATACTGGTCAAATATTTCGATTTCCGGCACGTTACTCACCGCCATATCCAAAGTTTTCCGCCGTTACATGGCCGCATGGATACAATCCGTGAACTGGAGAGGAACACAACAGTAACAGGTAACTGTGACGTCAACTCTGGAAAGCTTTCGTCACTCGTCTGAGCTTGCTCCTTACTGTACTACTCAGCGATGTTTGAACTGGAAATGAAGAACAAATTTTGGCTTTGTTTCAGGCTAGTAGCTAAAACTATTTTACGCACATCTGTCGCTAATGCATTCACTGTAACTTACTAAGATATGTAATGTCTTTTGTAACGCAGCAATCAGCTTTCATGTGGTATTATGAAATTCTTGACGAAAAAGTTCAATATCGTTGTGTATGCAACTATATCGCTACACTTTCTTTTGCTTGTTGTTTAGTCATGGAAGTTATGTTGGCGTTTATTATTTAATCGCTGTAAAATAATTCGTTGCTTAGTTTGCTAGTGCGTGTTGATTTGTGCATGTTTTATGTGATTTTTTAACCGTCACAGGTACTTAGTTGTGTACTCATCACTCGGCTGAAGTGAGTTGTGTCTAAACGATCCATTACACATCTCTGACATATGGCTATTCATCACAATGTTCTTTTTCAGTATTCTTTACCTTCCCAACGGGTAGGCACGTCTTAAGTACTGACGACCCAATATCGGACTTTGCCGCATTATCTCGTGATTTGTTTCTGTTTTATGTGATTATGTCAGTTAACTAAAACATTATACTACTGAAGTTGTAAAACGATATTTGTGATTTTGAACATCCATTCTTAATATCTTTCTGAAATTCATTTCACTTCTGTCTTTCTCTTCAA